CGTTGGCAGGATACGTTGGAAAATTTGCCACAAGAAAACTTTCAGCTTAGGTTGGATATTGGCATCCCATAACTGAATCCAGCTAGGTCGGTCCATCCAGCTTGCCGAAGCTCGCTAGTGCCCCTTTTGCTTATCCAGAGCAATAGCGAGGTGGTAGGCCGATTTGACAGTGAACACCCCATCCCTGGTATCATGCCAAACAAGCTTATCTGGAATATCTTGCCGGGGGAGAGGGATGGCTTTGATTGCCCTACAAGTGGATGGATCAAACCAACGAGATAATTTGGCATCACACCACCGACCGCCGCCGAGAGCCAGAACTTCCTCAACCTTGGAATCCCCGTCCCCAGAGAGCACGATTGGGTTGGGAATCGGGGGTTGTGGGTGTAAAGCAGGGATCCAGCTAGAGCTTAACATGGGAGCCATTTGCCCATTCCCAATCTGCCACCGAAGACCCTTAACCAACAACTGACGACCATAAAGGATACTTTGCCACCCCCAAGATGGGCGAGAGCGCGCAGTCGCGGTTAGGAACGTCCCCGAGGGGAAATATTTCCCTTTATACACTTTGGCCAGCAGTGACTGGGGATCAGTCAAGATATTCCACCCAATCTTAGCGAGAAGGGCCTGATTAAAATGCTCAAAGCGTCGGAAACCCATTCCGCCATCATGTTTACTGCGGCACATATTACGCCAGGAAATCCACCGAACTCGAGGGTTTCCTTCAGTCTCCCCCCACCAGAATCGAGCCACATGACGATCAAGGAGGTGACAAAGCAATAGGGGAAGCTTGAAGCACGACATCACATGTAAAGGTAGGGCCAAGGCTATGGATTTGATCAATGTCTCCTTAGCTGCCCAAGAGAGCGTCCTTTGCTTCCAACCTTGTAAGCGTTCAAGTAATTTGGCCTCCAGAAAACGGAACGTAGCCATCTTGGAATGAGCAATTAGTGAAGGAAGCCCAAGATATTTGTCGTGCACCCCCACAGCCCCTACGCCCAAGACCTGGGCCAGAAATTCCTGCTGAAGCATACTGCCGACTTGGCCACTTAACTCCTCATTTAGCACCTCAATGAGATTCTCACACTCCTGAAGAGAGCCACGGAGGAAAAGATAGGAATCATCCACAAAGAAAAGATGTGAGATCCTGGGTCTCGGGGAGCAACCTTCACTCCTGCTAACTTACCCTCATCAATCGCTCTTCGCAGAAGCGCCGCAAAACCCTCCGTACAGATAACAAACAGGAGGGGGGATAGCGGATCTCCTTGACGAAGTCCCCTAGAGGGGGAGAAGTAACCGGAGGGCGTGCCATTCATGAGGACTGAGAAAGAGGTTGAAGTAAGACATTCATGGACCCACCTTCGCCAGGTAGCATTAAAGCCTAACTTTTCCAAAACCGCCATAAGAAAAGACCATTCGACTCATCTAATGGTGACTTTGTTTACCACTGTGGAAGAGTTTGCAGTTGCTATGTTATGTGTTATTGGATGGTTTTGGGCATCATAGATTTCTAAACGAGAAGCGGCAGAAGGTGTTTTAGAGGGTAGGCATAAGAATTTAGAATCATGGATTACATGGAAAGAAAAACCCATCTGCTTTAAAGAACGAAGAAGGAAGCTTGGAGTTCATGAAGTAAGGGAATTGATGGAACCTCCTAAGCTGTGCTGCTGATTTAAGTTGCTGATGATTGAAGAATTGAACTATCGGCTGGACTTTAGTTTTGGGAGGCTAACTACGGAGGCTAACTAATTCAAGTTTATGGAAGGAGCTCATGAAGGTTAAAGTCTGCTGCTGCAACTTGCCGAAGATGCTGCTACCATTTACTGAAGACAACTCCTTAAGGTCTTGTAAAGTTGGCGATTTTCTAAGTGGAATGAACCGAAGAAGTCAGCTAGGGGTCTGTGATGAAGGTTCAGAACCTGCTGCAAATTGATGTTTCCGAACAGAGCTGTTGAAGATGGTGATGTCGAAGTATGAACTGAAATCTTGCAAAGTTGATGTAAATTTGTTTCCCGAGAAAACCAAATGCCACCGCCGGTGCCGAATTTGGTTTCTGACGATGTTGATTTGATGTTTCGCGGTGGAAACTCTTGCGGTGCCGTTTGATCGAATGCATCGCTGATTGCTGAAATTGAGACGACCGTCAAATATCCGCCGCCGAATGTCGGCGCCGTTGATTTGATCGATGCACCTCTAAATGGTGAAATCAACGTGACCGTCAAATATCCACCACCGGGCGGTGTTGATTTGATCGATGCACCTCTGACCTCTAACCAAGAACGACCGTTACTACGGTTCGCACCTCTCCAAACTACGTTCGAACGAGGGTGTTTGAGTTTTTTGAGGAATCTACACTACCGCTACTCCTATGGAGATTCCTGTGGAGAGCTCCGCGACTACGACTAAGACTACAACTATGGAGATCCTTCCTGGAAGGAGAGCTCCGCGAAGGAGTTATAGAGAAAAGGTAAAGTTTTGACAGAGTTGTTCTGTGTTGATTTTTGTTCCCTTCTCTCTCCTTGCTCCACTGCTTTTATTCGAAAAACCTCTTCGTAGTCTTCACGTTCGGTGAAACCGCTTCTCAACTGCTCCGTTGTGAACTCCCACGTGTCTCAACCGCTTCGTTCCTTAAACTGCTTCGCGTGAACTTTACGTGAGTTATTTTCATGATCCCGCGATGTCGTTTCCTTTCCCAAACAGCTCCGTTTGTTTTTTCCTCGTGACACTGTTTTAATATTAAACAACTCCGCTTCCAGTCTCGCGGTGTCGTTGGCTCACTCGAGCTTGTTCTCCATGCAACGACCTTGTCGTCTACTACTACGACATTGTTTGTGTTGCAATATCTCGCGACATTGTTTTTACTAAACACTGTCGTTGCCATTGGGCCTACTCGCGGTACCCTTTTTTAAATCTGCGGTGTCGTTTTACCCATCCGCGATGCCGCTTGTCGCGGTGCCATTTTTAGCCAAACGACACTGTTTCCCAAGCTCGCGATGTCGTTGAGCTTTGAGGTTCGCGGCACCGTTTTCTCTTCGTCGCATTGCTTGACTCCAAACGGTGTTGTTACTCTCCTCCTCCGACAAGAAAAAAAAAATAAAAAACATTCCTTGTCCAACAGCAACACATGTCCTGCGCATGCCTCACATATGGTCTGCAACCAATGTCGTTTCAAGTACCGCGGCATCGTTAGGCCTACTCGCGTACCGTTTTAAATCCGTGGTACCGTTTTAATTCTCCGCGATGCCGCTTATCTCCATACGGTATCGCTTTTTCCCTTCCGACAAGGAATAAAAATAATAATTAATTAAAAAACTCCTTTTCCAACAACAATACTACGCGTGCGGCCCCCATCTTGTTTTCTGGTAAACAGTGTTGTTTCCAGTGCCGCGGTACCGCTGAGCTTTCTTGCGGTACCGTCGTTTTAACTCTCCGCGACGCCGCTAGACTCCAAACGACACCGTTTATTACCCGCGGTATCGAATTAAATGCCGAGACTCATCCATGCGGCATTTAATTTAGTCTAGATTATTATAGGTGTAAACAAAATTGATGTTTCAGAAGCAAACTTCAGTTGAGGGGAGGCGTTGTTGGGATAAGTTTTGAGTCTGTTGTTCTTCGGTGTCGTTTTTATTGATGTGTTAGATCCTGTTGTGGTGTTTTTGGGTGAGAGATTCGTTTGTCGTGGGATATAGATTGTGGTCAACTAGTTTTAATAGTTCAGGAAAAGTAGGTAACTGTAGTTGGTTGGCTTCCTGGGTTTTAGGAAGTGGGTTAATGGGTAGAATTGAAAGTCGAATTAGCAGCTTAGAAAAGTTGGCTAGTTGTATAGATTTGCTTTTCTTTCATTCAATAAGATTTGGTCAGTTTGCATTCTTTTGAGTTTCACACGTTTGTCTGAATCATAGAGGCAGTAGTGGTTTTGGTGGTGGAGAATCGTCTGGATCTAAGTTTTTGACATATGCATGCAGATGTTTCAAGAAGATGAATTCCGGTGGAGAGGGAAATACTTATGGTGATTACTAGGGATCGGAATAGTTTCATTTCCCCCATTTTGTAGCAGAGTAGAGAGAGACTTCTCAAGGCTAGATGAAAGCCCTAGTTTGGCGATTGAAGCGGTTCTGAATGAAGAAGAGGATCGTGATGGGAAAATTCGTGTTTGGGTCATAATTGTTTATATAATTTTCAACTCAACATGTATTGAATTTTTTTAGTTTAAACTTGTAAATAATAGAAATTAGGAAAAATTATTTGATTTGAATTTTACAATAATTTTTACGATGACATGACAATGACCTGACACGTTAACCATTAGTTAGCAGTGTTGACTGTCCAACTTGACTGTCAATCCATAGATAAGTTAAATTAGTTTAGATGGTGTATAGTTTAGGCCATGATGAATATTTTAGAAATCATAGACCAAACTAGTTTATTTGTGTAAAGTTCGGACCAATATTGTATTAATCCTTAATTTTATCACAAGTATGGAAATAAGAATATTACCTTTGCTTTTAGCTTTTACCAACATCAAAGACGAAAATGCAAGGTAGAAAAGTTAATGTTACCCAACTCTTTTGATAGGTAATTCTTTTCCAACTTCGAACGCCAAGAATTAATTACTTGCAATTGTATGTGGAAACAAGTAAGGCACTTGCAATTGAAAGATGAAAGTTCGTGATAGAATTCTCTGAGAAAATTAAGAAACAAACTTTTTGAAAGAATATTACCTTTGCTTTTAGCTTTTACCAACATATGTCTAAGTTCACTTGTGAAATGGTAGTCGAATGGAACCTGCAGTTAGACCCGAATTTAACAACTCAAGTTGTTGGTTAAACGAAAGCATACTCATCCGAGTTTAAAGTTTGTACATATCAGAATACCTTATGTTTAACAAGTGAGGTTCATCAAAATTCTAATAGAAGACCTCTCGGTTATCAAGAACCAGTTGATATCCATAGTTCGAATTATTGGTGGGTATTCAATATTTATCTTATACCACTTACTAACCGTGATAAATTTTATTCAACGCCACACAAAGAACAAATACCACATACTTAAAATAAGTAAATCAGCAGAAAGAATCCATGCCAACATATTACATTTAGACGTGATCATCGGTACTGAGAGCTTTCAGCGCAGCCTTGAGAGCAGCATTCTCCTTCTCCTTCTCTTCCAGACACTTCCTCAGCAATGACTCAGTCTTGTCCTTCTCTTCCACGATCTTCTTCCAGCTACTTTCGTACAAAACGGAATATCTGCTCCCATCGTCGTCCTCATCCCCGCCGTGAGCAATTGGAGGGGCGACCAAAACGGCACCGCTGCTCATGTCCCAAATGCTCCATATCGTGCTAATCACGGGCTTCACCCCGTACTTTGACCAGCCGAAATGGTCGTTGATCCTCACCCGCTTGATCGGCTCGCACCCGACGTACATGAGGCAGAGTCCCTGACGGTTGACCACGGGGAAAAACCTCCGACCGTTGGGGTCAACCCAGGTCAGATCTTTGACCAGCTCTTCCAGTCGGCTGCCTTGTATCGTCACTCCGTGGACCTCCAGCTTCTTGAACCGAGCGCCAGCAGAAGGGCCGACGGCGATGGAGTCACGCCACCTCGAGCTGCTGACGTGGATGAGGTCGAACGCGTTCAGGTCGTCCATGTATTCGACGACGTGAATGTCGGGAGATCCGTCCACGGTTCGGACGAACTGGTTGTCGTTCTGCAGCTTGAACGCGGACATCTTTTTTTTCTTTCGGGGATTTTTTTTCACCGGGAGAGACGGATTGTTTTGAAGAAAGTTTGCTTACGTTGGGCTTTGGCACGGTACGCACGTATATATAGTACTGGAGTTCTTCTTTACTGTGGATGATGAAGGAATTTTCTACCATGTCCACGTTTTGTATATGTCCGAAACTTAAGAAAACAGAAGAGAATTGAATTCTTTGAACTTTGCTTCACCATTTAAGTTATTGAAATGCGAGACTGGTATTCTCTAGTGTCCTACTAGACCTTAAACCCCTACTGCCATTTTTAGAACTCGCATATAATTATATTTTGTTTCTAGGGGACTAGCAAAAGCCCGCTCGCTAGTATTACAAAAATAAATTTTTTAAAAATAATAATTTTAATGCTGACCCAAAAGTGAAAATCATTGTATTTCATTGCTAATCATTCTTTTTATAGGTTTTTTATTTACAATAGCATATGGTCGATGAACTTGTATATGGTATAGGGGTCGTCAAATAGATTATTTATTTTTAAACTTCTTTCATGACAGTAATGTTTCAATTTGTATGGCTTTCTTTTTTCGGGTTTGAGGTAATCATTGTGCTCCTTTATGAAATTTTTGGACTGATTGCAGGTTTGGGGAGGTTCAACTCGCATTGATCGGGTCAAATTAGGTTAGATACCCATGGATTTGGGTTCAATTGTCTTTCTCAAACAAAAGAAAAAAGCGAAATGAAAAACACTAAAGCTAAAACTCGCTACCGACTCAAAATTCGTCAGACCAAGGTTCAACTTGCTTTGACCTGGTTAGACCGAGTTTTGGACAAATTCACACCTGACACAACACGCTAATTACAAAAACAAATAAAACTCGCTCCCAGCGAAAACCAGTAAAATCGGGTTCAAGTCGATTTGGTCTGGTCGAATTGGGTTGTATACCCATGCGTTTGCATTCCTCTGATCAGTTTATTCAGTTTATGGTGGGAGGTGCCAAGCCTTTCTTTGGAACAGTAGTGTATGCAGCAAATGATGATACTCTTAGACGGGTTCTGTATAATGATCTAAGAAGGATCAGAATCACTGTTGCTCCATGGATAGTGATGGGAGACTTTAATGATATTAGGAACCCTTCTGAAGCTTCAAATTCCCCTAGAGTTGATGCATCTATGACCTGCTTTGATCAATGGATTACTGACCTAGAGTTGGAGGAGCATCATGCCACTGGTCCTTGGTTTACCTGGCTAAACAAACAGGCAGCAAATCCTATTGCTGAGCGTCTGGATAGAGTTTTGGTTAACTTCCTATGGTTGGATTCAATTAAGGACAGTAAGGTTCACTTACAAGTTCCAGGAGTATCAGATTACTGTCCCATGTATGTTGACACTGAGGCTGAATTGAAGTCGATTCCAAAGCCATTTAAATTCTTTAAATTCTGGATTCAGCATCCAAAGTTTGACGAGTTACTGGAAGAGGATTGGAGGAGTAATGTTACTCGACATCCATTGATTAGAGTGAGTCTGAAACTGAAGAATTTAAAGAATATGTTAAGGAAGCTGAATAGAGAAGAATTCTTGGATCTGTCTGAAAGAGTAAAGGAGAAGGAAAGAGAGGTTAATGACATTCAGCAGCAGGCTCTTAGTGCTCCAACCACAGATTTGTTTGAAGAAGAAAGAAAACTGGGATTGGAATTGAAGATACTGATGGATGCTGAGGAAACTTTTTACAAACAGAAGTCCCGTGAGAATTGGCTTAAAACAGGAGATATGAACTCAGCTTTTTTTCATCGTGCAGTGAGAGTGAAACAGAAGAGGAGTACTACCAGGGTTCTTAAAAATGAAGCAGGGGAAAAAGTCACTGAGGTTGAAGAAATGGCTAAGATTGCAGTAAGGTTTTATGAGAAATTGTTAGGAGTTGAGGATCCGGAGGTTGTGACTTATTCTTATGAGTACTATGAAGCATTGTTGCGAAGGAAACTTTCTGAGGAACAGACTGATGGACTATGTGACCCTTTCACAGATGAGCAGATAAAGGAAGTGATCTTTGCAATGGATGGTGGTAAGATTCCAGGTCCGGATGGTTTCTCAGCAGCTTTATTCCAATATGACGGGCCTCTAATTGGTCCAGAGGTATGTTCAGCTATCAAATTCTGTTTTGAGCAGGATAAAGTTCCTAGGTCTATTAATTCAACTATCTTAGCTCTGATTCCTAAAGTTGCAAACCCAGATGAGATGAAAAACTTTAGGCCAATTTCATGTTGCAATATACTATATAAATGCATCTCCAAGCTTATTGCAAATAGGCTCAGTCCCCTTCTCCCTTCCTTGATTAGCAAAAACCAAACAACATTGGTCAAGGGAAGGCTAATTGGAGAGAATATACTGTTAGCTCATGAGTTAGTTAGCAAGTACTCTCACCAGAACATATCTCCTAGATGCGCTATTAAGATAGATTTGATGAAGGCATTTGATTCGGTTGACTGGAGATTTATTTTTCAAGTTCTGAAGTGTATGAATGTCCCTGAGAGGTTTGTGAATTGGATCCAGATGTGGGTGGGAACTCCTATGCTCAGTGTTTGTTTTAATGGGGGGTTTAGTGGGATATTTTCAATCTAAGAAAGGGTTCCGGCAGGGAGATCCATTATCTCCTTACCTCTTTGCCATAGAAATGGAGGTATTCTCATGCCTTATTGATAAGTCTGCTGTTGAGAGGAGCTTTCCATATCATCCTATGTGTAAAGGGGTGGCCCTTACTCATCTCTGTTTTGCTGACGATTTGCTAGTCTTCTCGGATGCTTCTAACTCTGGTATTCAGACATTACAGAATGTGTAGTCCCAGTTTAAGCTGATTACTGGTCTTAAATCAAACCCAAGCAAATGTGAGATATATTTTGGGGGGATTGATAGAGATGCAAGTAAGATTAGAGCTGATAGATTTGGGTATCAAATGGGGACTTTCCCTGTTCATTATTTGGGGGTGCCCCTTATCTCAGGGAAGCTGAGTCTAGCAACCTGTAAACCTTTGATTGATAAACTGGTGGCTAGAGTTAGAAGTTTGCAGGATAAATCTCTTACTTATGCAGGGCGTATATAACTGGTTGGCTCGGTCCTTTATAGCTTGCCACAATTTTGGATGTCTATCTTTCTCATCCCAAAAGCTATTATAAAAGAGGTGGAAAAAATCTGCAGTAATTTTGTCTGGAGGGTTGAAACAGGGATAAAAGTCCAAGCAAATGTGGCCTGGAAATACCTCACTTCCCAAAAAGGAAGGGGGTTTTGGTTTCAGAGACCTAACTAGCTGGAATCAGGCATGCATGACGAGGCATATATGGTTGATATTGCTAAAGGAGGGTTCGATTTGGGTAGCTTGGATTAACAGATACAAACTTAATGAAGGAGTTTCTGGACATACACTTGTTCCTCTGGTTCATGGAACTGGAAAAAGCTGCTAAAGCTTAGATATAAAATTGGCTCTTTCATTTCCTTCCGAGAGGATGAAATCCTAATGGACAACTCTCCTATGCCTCATTTTTCTATTAAGCGAGTGTGGAATTTGTTAAGGCCTACTGGAAGTGTTGTTAGTTGGTGGAAGCTGATTTGGAAAGGTAAGGGTATTCCCAGGAATCGGATTCTTACCTGGCTAGTTATGAGAAACAGTATCACCGCAAAGGTGAAAATGCAGAACTGCGGGTATGCAGGAGATTTGCAGTGCTGTTTATGTAATTCAGGGACTGAGGATAGAGATCATATTTTTGTTCATTGTCTGATCTCCTGGCAGCTCCATGTTTCTCTCTTTGGCAGGGTGCTTCATATTCCAAATGTGCAGAGTTGGGATGATGAAGTTAGCTGGGGACCATCGAGGTTTAAGGCTCAAACTGACATGGCTGAAGTGGGAATAACAATTTGGCAAAGCTGGGTTAGTAATATTTGGAGAGAAAGATGTCATCGTTTGTATGCTGGCAAGGCACTCTCCGCTGTTGCGCTGCTGAAATTGATCAAGAATGAAGTGGAAACTTTTATGGGAAGTAATAGAGTTAGACAATTTTGGGGTTGACTATTGGTGATCTGTCTTAGAGGCTCTTGATGTTTTGTTTGTTTTCTGTTTTGGTTAATATTACCTAGCTAACAGGGTAGTTGTTAGCACCTGCTTTTTAATGAAATGAAACCCACCGATTCATAAAAAAAAAAAGATAAAAAAAACTAAAGCGGATAAAACTCGCTTAGGACCTCAAACTCTCAACACTGCGTTCAACTCGCTTTGACCGGGTCGACCCTGTTTTAACAAATTCACAATTTACCCAACCTGTCAATTACAAAAGCGGATAAAACTCGCTCTCGATACGAAACACGTCGACGATGGGTCAGAGTTCAATTGCCATTCTCAACGAAAAGGAAAATGAGAAATAAAAAAATTTAAAGCGTACAATACTCGCATTCGATCTAAACTTGGTCAACAACGTGTTCAACTCGCATTTAACAAATTAACACTTGGTCCAACCTGTCAACTACTAATGCGGATAAAGATCGTTCACAATACAACACTCGTCAAAACCTTAGATTCGAGTTCAATTGTCTTCCCAACCAAAAGAAGAAGAAAAAAGAAATTTATGAATGCTAAAGTCTGTTTCAAGTCGCTTTGACTGGATCGAATTAGGTTGGATACCCATGCTCAATAAAAAGGAAAAAAATTAAGAAAAAACACTAAAGAGGATGAAACTCGGTCCTGATACAAAAATCGTGGTAGTGGCCTTAGAAAACGTTGGTGGGGAACAACTTAGGATTCTGTCGACAGTATTTCGAGATAGGATGAAAAATATTGGGCAACGGCAATGATTTGTGCAAAAAGCCATAGATGGTTCTTAGGCATTGGGCTAACAAAATCTGGGGTCGGGACGGTCAGGTTTGTGTTTCACTTATGTGTGAGAATTTTGATACTGATACAATTTCCTTCGCAAGGGACTTGTGATTGGATATTGGAAAACGACCCTTGGTTTCACTTTGATAATTTGCTATATCTTCGTCCCTGGGTTCTGTGCATTAGTCTAGTGGATTTAGACAGAAAGGTGTTGCCAATATGGCTGAAAT